ATCGTAACTATCCGAAATAAAGCTCATGCCAATGGCCTAAGTGGTCACCTTTAATATTAAAAAAAAAAAAAAAAAGTAATATATAAAACCCCTACAGCAAAAAGTAGCATTGGGCCAACTAATCAAAATTTGAGATTTTGTATCAGTTATTTGCTTATAAGACTTGTCTATCTAAAAATAATTTTTTTTTTACAAAAAGATTAGTAAAATATATATTTTTTCTTTGTTATCATAAAAAATTGATTTACGTACTACAGCATTTACATTGATCTGCACATATATGTAATAGTATAGCGATAGTACTTTTGATTTACCAGTTATATCGATTTGCACATAATACATAATAGTACCGGTACAGTATTTTCATTGTTCTGTAGACATGTTTAACCTGCTTATGTAATGTGTATAACCTGATTTTTGATAGAGCCAGCATGTCAGTTAAAATATCTATAATTTTTTTACTAGCTATTTATGCATAGTGATAAAATAATTTGTACATGTGTAAATATAAAAAGCAATAATGACAACGAAGTTTACTTCTTGAAAGTATGGAATATAATATATGTTCTGAAGATAATAATATAACTGAAGCTATTTTAGCTTCTTTAAAAGATTTAAATAGTACTTTTTTTGTTAAATGTTTATATTCCAAAGATGAAGATGAATTTAAATCTATATCAGATGATGAATTGGAATCTGACAATAATATTCCTTCAAATAAATTAAATGAATTTAAATTTATAGATGTTCCTGATAGCTATATCAAGGATAAAATTTATGATGACCTGAAATCGAAAGTTAAACAATTTTTTGAAAAAAGAAAGTGTTTATGTCATTCTAAACAATCTTGTTTCAGTCAAATTGGTTATGAAAAATTTCTTGCATGTCGAGCTGAATTCGAAAGTTTAGATAAAAATATGAGGGATATGATTATTAAAGAGCAACTTGCGGCCTTCCAAAAAAATGAAGATACAAAAAAAGTTGCTAGTAATGACAGAAAACATGTACACTTTAGATATTGTTATAATGATGATATTTCTATTTGTCTTAATACCTATTTAACTCTTGTTGAAGTTAGTTATACATATTTAGATAACATAAAATAGCATTTACAAGAGCATGGATTTGAAGAATATAGACATGAAAACACTGGTAGAGCTCCAAAAAATATAAACCGTATTAAGGTTAATTATGAAATAGCATGTGATTTATATAAGTTTTTAAAAAACTATTCTAATATACATGGTATGCCCTCACCTGGATGTCATTGTAACAAAATCTCTATGCCGATTGTATTTCTTCCAACTAGTTTTAATTATGCTTCAGTATATCAGGATTATATTCAAGCTTATAAAGATAAGCATAGGAGCGATACTCATATTATGTCTGAATCAACTTTTACCAATATCTGAAAATTATTAATTCTATCTCTTCAATTTATATCTGTGAAGTCTAATTTATATGAAACTTGTAAAATAATGAAAATGAATATTCAATACACTATGTAGTATGAAAAAAAATTAGAACTAACTAATAATTATTTGGCATATTTAAATTGTGTACAAGAAGAATGTGACTATTATAATGCTAATATTGTAAAAGCTACTGAAGATGGTAAACATAATTCAAATATAGTTAAATCACAAATATCATTTAAAATCTTTGATGGGTATATATATATTGCATATGATTGGGTTCAAAATATGCAAATACCATAGCAAATAGGAGTCTTATATTTTAAAAGTTCTCGAAAAGTTCACTTATTTGGCATTTGCAATACTAGTAATTTTTCACATATATAACAAATAAACTACATAATCAATGAAGCTAAAATACCCAACAATGGAAAGCAAAAAAAAGGTGTAAACTGTACTTTAAGTTTAGTTTGGCATGCAATTCAAAAATATAATTATAGAGAAAAAAAACTTATTATTGCATGTGATAATTATACAGGCCAGAACAAAAATAACTACAGGTGACCCTTGTTAATATCAACCCATTTGAACCTGTTCAAAATTATGTTGATAGTGATATTAACGAAAATTCATATTAAAG